CTTCACAGGCAAGACTGTAGCACACCGCCGTGCTGGGCTGTCCTTTTTAAAATGCTCTCTTTGTTTTTGGTGGCTGTGATACTATCAGAATAGTATAGCGCTATGGTTTATCCCACACGTGATTCAGAGAAGTTTAAAAAAGAAAGGTCAAACTAGTCAACTGGCTGATAAAAACTTGTGCAATTAAGTCGGCCCGTGTGAACGGCAGCACAACGTGGAAACCACAATCCAGAGGGGGTCAGGGACCCGGGGCTGTAGTGCTGCTTGGCCACCACGATCGACTAGCAGCTCCTGGGATGTGTGTGAGTGTGTGTGTTTTAAATACGGTACAATCATCTCCATTTACTCAAATAAAGTGAAGTCGTCTTCTTCTGGAACATCATCCTCACTCTCCAAACCCCGAATCCCATCCTGAATTTCTTGCGACTCTGTTTCCTTTAGAACCACTGGCCCCGATCTCTCCTGTGGAGCACTAGAGCTCTCACGGGGCGGATGAGAAGGGCTGCTCGTGTTCTTTCCCGCTCCGCGACGACACGCACGGGTTGTGCAGATGCGCTGTGCAGCCACGCCCGTCACTAGGGCTGATTTTCATAGCCACGCCCACCACTAGGGCTGATTTTCATAGCCACGCCCATCACTAGGGCTGATTTTCATAGCCACGCCCATCACTAGGGCTGATTTTCATGGCCACGCCCATCACTAGGGCTGATTTTCGGGGTAGGGCTTCTATGGCGCACATGCTTAGACCTCCTGCTAGGGCTTATTTTCGGGGTGGGGCTTCTACTGTGCAAAGCTTATATTGTGAGGCCAGTTTGCCCCTTCATTCAGCAAACATTTAATGAACGTCACCACGTACCCAGCGTGGTGACAGGTGCCGGGGGCACAAACGAGGGGAACAGGTCCCCACGACTCAGGCGCTTTCCACAGGAAGAATCACGCGCCCCGGGCAACACAGAAGCCAAAGGGGAGTGATGTCGTAAAGAGCTTTCAGAGCAAAGGAGGGAGAGCAGGAGTCCCCGGGGTGAGGCCAGCGAGTTTACGAGGAACCGACACACACAGGAGAACCGGGGGGGGGGGGCGCTCGCGAGGGGCACCAGAGAGCCGGCGTCACGCTCAGCAGAGAGTCCCCAGGAAAGCTCACGGGTCCCCGGAGGGTCTGACGGGGTGGCGTGAGGGGACCAGAGCCCCAGCATGCGGCAAAATCCCTGGAGGCCTCCGGGCTGGGGTGCTCAGCCCTCCCGCTCACGGGGCTCACCCGGCCCTTCTCCCGGGTCTCTGCGGCCTTCAAACACTGTGATTGCCGGACTGCGTCAGGAAGTGCAGTGAAACGATGACACCACGGCCCTTTTAAGTTGCTGTCATCGTGCGTCTAAGTGCATATAAAGCACACGGGCGCTGAATGACCCACGGTGCCCTCTTAGGGTGTCGGCTGCTAGGAGCACCCCGGGGCCATGAGCACTTCGGCAAGAACAGAGTCGAGAAGAGACCAGGGCTCCAAGACACGATTCACCTTCCCAGCTTGAGACCCGCCTCCTCCACACTCCTCTTCTTAGGGAGAAGGAGCAACATGGAGACGCTTTGAAGTGGACCTACAAGTGGATCTACCATGCGATCCAGCAATCCCGCTGCTGGGCATCCACCCAAAGGAACAAAAGTCACTCTGTGGAAAAGACACCTGCACTCGAATGTTTACAGCAGCACAATTCACAATCGCAAAGCTGTGGGAACAACCCAAGTGCCCGTCAATTCATGAGTGGATTAATAAAATGTGGTATATGTACACCATGGAGTACTGCTCAGCTCTGAGAAACAACGGTGATCTAGCACCTCTTGTGTTTTCCTGGATAGAGCTGGAGCCCATTCTACTAAGTGAAGTGTCCCAAGAATGGAGAAACAAGCACCACATGTGCTCACCAGCAAATTGGTATTAACGGATCAGCACCTAAGTGGACATGTAGGAATAACATTTATCGGGTGTCGGGCAGGTGGGGGGAGGGGACGGGTATATACAAACATAATGAGTGCGATTAGCACCATCTGGGGGATGGTCATGCTTGAAGCTCTGACTCCAGGGGCAGTGGGGGTCAGGGCAATATAGGTAACCTTAACATCTGTACCCCTATAATATGCTGGGGAAAAACACACGGCGAGACTTGGCTACGGGCTAGTGGTTATTCACACGAATCTCGTGTGTGGAGCTCTCTTCCCTCTAAATTCGGGCATCCAAGTAACGTGCGAGGCAATCTGGAGCCAATAAGTGCTTTGGGGGGGGGTGACAGCGCCGTGAGCCAAGTTTCAGCAGCAAACGCTTCCTGGCCAGTTTGTAAACTCCCAGAGACGCCGAGGGCATGAGCCGCGGAAACACGCTCCACGGCGCCTCACGCTTCCCCGGTGAACTTTGGAATGTGAGGTGTAAACTTCTCAAACCGCAAGGAAGCTTCCAGTCCTGAACTTTTGTGAGGCTCGGGCAACAGATTTAGCACTTATTTATTTGATTCTCTCTCTCTTTTTTTTAAGCCAGCTCAGGAAAAAAAAATCTGAATAGAATATGCATTTCTAACACGAAATATTACAAGCTTCTTCTTTCCCTTCACATTTTGCTTTCTCTCCTGTAGTTGAAATAGATTCTATTTAGGAATCGAAGAAATGGTGTTGAGAAAATAATCATCTCTCTTCAACTGTCATTAGCACCTTAGATGATGTTATGAGTAGTCATTTTCTACCGTGTTTCCCCGAAAATAAGGCCTACCCTTAAAACAAGCCCTAGCAGGATGTCTAAGCATGTGCGCCATAGAAGCCCTACCCCGAAAATCAGCCCTAGTGATGGGCGTGGCTGCGCAGCGCATCTGCACAACCCATGCGTGTGGTCGCGGAGCGGGAAAGGACACGAGCAGCCCTTCTCATCCGCCCCGTGAGAGCTCTAGTGCTCCACAGGAGAGATCGGGGCCAGTGGTTCGAAAGGAAACAGAGTCGCAAGACATTCAGGATGGGATTCGGGGTTTGGAGAGTGAGGATGATGTTCCAGAAGAAGACGACTTCACTCTATTTGAATCAATGGAGATGGTTGTATCATACTTAAAAAAAAATAACACATCTCCTGAAAATAAGCCCCAGGGTGTCTTCTTGAGGAAAAATAAATATAAGACCCTGTCTTATTTTCGGGGAAACGCGGCATGCTTCAATGAAAAGTCATCAAAACTGCCCAGGGATAAGAAGCAGCAAGACTGAAGCAGGTGCGGACTGTCAGGGTGAAGTTCAAGCAAACGGGGGTCCTAGCCTACCCGGCCCCCAGGCATCACCTTGGGGAATCTGAGGTTCGAGCCGCGTAAATAAGATGCCAACGCCCCGTAACAGCAGGACGTGAGGAGGATACAGGTCTATGGGTCCCCCTGCCTCCCAGAGGAGAACACGTAAATAATCAAAGATTTAGGAAACGAGCCACTGCGCTCTTTCGGAAACAGGAAGGGTGATGACAGCAGGGAACAGACAGGGAAGCTCTGCAGAACGGGTGCAGCTCACATGCCCTTCATATCCCCAGAGTAAAAGAAACAGAAGACTCTTAAAGAACCGAAGGCTCTGGTCAGAAAAAGGTGGACTAGCACTCTGGGAGGCCGAGGCGGGCGGATCGCTCGAGGTCAGGAGTTCGAAACCAGCCTGAGCAAGAGCGAGACCCCGTCTCTACTACAAATAGAAAGAAATTAATTGGCCAACTAATATACATAGAAAAAATTAGCCGGGCATGGTGGTGGCGCATGCCTGTAGTCCCAGCTACTCGGGAGGCTGAGGCAGGAGGATCGCTTGAGCCCATGAGTTTGAGGTTGCTGCTGTGAGTGAGGCTGATGCCACGGCACTCACTGTAGCCTGGGCAACAGAGTGAGACTCTGTCTCAAAAAAAAAAAAAAGAAAAGAAAGGAAAAAGAAAAGAAAAGAAAAAGGTATAAATGCCTGGGTGTCAGGGATCAAAACACTTTTCTCAAAAAAAAGTGATCACTTCATGGTGACCTTTCCTAATTGTAATTCTCTGGAATCTTTTGTCATCAGGATTCATACAGGTTCACAGCAGGAATCTTCCTTCATACTAATAAATTGCACAATGAAATTTTTCTACTGCCCCGATTCTTTGTTTAAACATCTAGATGCCTTCCTCAGGGACAGCAGAAATTTATGCTGCCAATTGTTTCTAAAATAATGTCATTTCTGCTAAATAAACAGATCTTTTAAATTTTTAATAGAAGTTAAGCATTTGAGGGCTCTCTGGGGTTCACCTTGCAGACACCCTCTCCGAGCTATCTAATGAGCCTACGGCTAATAAGAGATGCAGTAGGCCAGGCGCAGTGGCTCACTCCTGTCATCCTAGCACTCTGGGAGGCTGAGGCGGGAGGATTGCTTGAGGTCAGGAGTTCGAAACCACTCTGAGCAAGAGCGAGACCCCGTCTCTACTATAAATAGAAATAAAATTAATTGGCCAACTAATATATGTAGAAAAAAATTAGCCGGGCGTGGTGGCGCATGCCTGTAGTCCCAGCTACTCGGGAGGCTGAGGCAGGGGGATCGCTGGAGCCCAGGAGTCTGAGGTTGCTGTGAGCTGGGCTGACACCAAGGCACTCACTCTAGCCCGGGCTACAGAGTGAGACTCTGTCTCAAAAAAAAAAAAAAAAAGGAATGCAGTGATTACAACACGCCTGGCCAAGAGGCGTTCTTCTGTGCAATGGCACCCGCAGAGTGAAGAGTTCTCTCAGCGAGCCCTAGGGAATCCCAACCACTTCTCCTTGATCAGCCCCCCTCGCTTCGGTGCCTGGAACGCTGTTTCCAGAGAGCAAAATCGATTAAAAAATAAAAACGTCCCTGAGAGAGGGATATCAGCACTGTTTACTAAGAGGGAAGGTCACCGAGATTCCAGACGCACCGAGCTCGGTCATCGGGACGCTTCCCTGGCAGTCTAGAGAGAAATCAGGAGCTACGTCTACTCTACGGGCCAGCGAGGAGACACCCCCTCTTACCTCGCTCTCCGGGGTGGGAGACGGCGTCACGGAGCTCAGCGAGCCTTTCCTGGAACCCTGGAGGTCTGTGGGGCCCGAGACGGGCTGCTCCCACTGGGTGGCCCCCGTGGGGATGTGCCAGTAATAGGTCCCGGCGATGTCGTTGACCCTCTTCCAGCCGGGAGGCAGGTCCGGATCGGTGTGAAACGAGTGGTCACTCCACAGATCTGCCGGGACACGGGGGAGAAAAGAGGGGATTTTATCAAGAGAGGAGATCGCCATTTCGGAGCCAACGGTCAGGCAAGCCCCACGGGCAGATGTGTCCGTAGCCCACGTGATCGCTCCTTCCGGTGTATCTGCGGGACTCACCCACAGTCCTGTGTGCGGCTGTGCTTGGTAAAGGGGTCGTAGGGAAACAAGTGAAGAGCTGGCCAGGACATGAAAACGCGGACATGAAACCCTCGCTATCGAGACAGCTTACAGTTCCAAGAGCCCTACGGACAAGCCAAAGCTCCGTTTCCCAGAATCAGCTTCTCAGGCAGAATCTGCACCATGCACTGAACCCTCTGGCCAGTCGGGAGGGTTTACTGGTTCCATCGCCCATCATCCCCAGCTACAAATATAACTCCAGCTTTCTGAAAATGCCTTCTGTAAATGATATATATCTCTCATGTGCTTCTACCGTGTTTCCCCGAAAATAAGACCTACCCATAAGATAAGCCCTAGCAGGATTTCTAAGCATGTGCGAAATAGAGGCCCTACCCCAAAAATCAGCCCTAGTGACGGGCGTGGCTGCACAGCGCATCTGCACAACCCATGCGTGTCCTCGCGGAGCGGGAAAGAACACGAGCAGCCCTTCTCATCCGCCCCGTGAGAGCTCTAGTGCTCCACAGGAGAGATCGGGCCAGTGGTTCTAAAGGAAACAGAGTCGCAGGACATTCAGGATGGGATTCGGGGTTTGGAGAGTGAGGATGATGTTCCAGAAGAAGACGACTTCACTCTATTTGAATCAATGGAGATGGTTGTACCGTACTTAAAAAAACAAACAAAACACATCCCCTGAAAATAAGCCCTAGGGTGTGTTCTTGAGGAAAAATAAATGGAAGATCAATCACTTCTGGGCTATGTGAACAGGGCGGTCTGGGCGGGCCGCTGAGGGAGCGAGGTGTCCCTGAACTGGGCTCGTGTGCCCTTCAAGGGGACGGCCACTCTCCCGGGCGTGAGTGGTCTAGGATGAGGCTTAAGGCCCCACGGGCAGAGGGTTCGCCCTTTTTACAAAGGAAAATTTGGAGGTTCTAATGTGATTTGCGTCTTTAAAAGGTCAGAAGAATAATTTCACACAGTGCTCTCATTCTTGAAGAAGAAAAACCTGTCTTTTCCCGAGTTTTGGCTGCAGCTGCGCTGCTAGCAACCCTTGAGCAATGCTTCAATCCAAACCATCTGAATTTGGCTTTGAGATGCTTTTCCTGCCTGCCTGCCTCCATTGCGTCTCTCTTTTCTCTCTCACTGCTGAGTCTCCTTTATTTTTTCTGGCCCCAGACCTTCACGGTCAGAATACAGCAAACAGGGCTCTTCATTTCTTCCATCTCTATCATCAAAATTTTGAAGACAAGAGCACGGAGCCAGGACTCCAGGTCCAGATCACTAATCAATAGGTTTGGCCAAGGTTCCAAGCAGCAAACAGACGCCGCTTAGAATTTGGTGGGAAACCGTCCTCGGCCACAGGAACTGGCAGAGAGACTGAGGCCGCCGGCGGCAGGACCCCAAATCTGTGAGCCCCCAGAATCCGAACTGCCAACCAGCCCAGAGGGGAGGGAGGCTCGCCAAAACAGCTTCAAGCCCCTTATATTTCTTGATGTGTGTTTGCAAGCCATAACTTAGACACCGAAATGTCTGTCACAGCCTTAGAAATATCACACTTTGTATTCAACTGAGCTTTCCCTTGGTTGCATTGTTTTGACAATTGTAAGAAAATCCTTAACAGTTTTGGGAATGTTGATTTTCTAACACGTTTCCCCGGTATTTTTCTTTAAAAAAATAATACTAAGATATATAAATATCCTTGAAATAGACAGCTATTTGTAGCTGTTAAAGATTGGGATTTTGGGGGGTTTTTTTTGAGACAGAGTCTCACTCTGTTGCCCAGGCTAGAGTGAGTGCCGTGGCGTCAGCCTAGCTCACAGCAACCTCAAACTCCTGGGCTCATTCGATCCTCCTGCCTCAGCCTCCTGAGTAGCTGGGACGACAGGCATGTGCCACCGTGCCCGGCTAATTTTTTCTATATATTTTTAGTTGGCCAATTAATTTCTTTCTATTTTTAGTAGAGACGGGGTCTCGCTTTTGCTCAGGCTGGTCTCGAACTCTTGTCTTGAGCGATCCTCCCATCTCAGCTTCCCAGAGTGCTAGGATGACAGGCGTGAGCCACTTCACTGGGCTGAGTTTGGGCCTTCAAAGAAGCAGAAATGAAGTCAGAGCAAAATAATTTAAGTCTGTTTTCTATTTAAGAGATTCTTGTTTGGAGACTGCTTTCTGTTCCACCTCATGTTCTCATGAAAGTATGCAAATAGGAAGTGATCGGAGGTTGGTGGAAGATAAAAAGGAAATTATACCTCTCTGTTCACAGATTGTTAACCAAAATCAAAACACAGTACAGACCAGGCGCAGTGGCTCACGCCTGTAATCCTAGCTCTCTTGGAGGCCGAGGTGGGCAGATTGCTCGAGGTCAGGAGTTTGAAACCAGCCTGAGCAAGAGCGAGACCCCATCTCCACTATAAATAGAAAGAAATTAATTGGCCAACTAATATATATAGAAAAAATGAGCCGGGCATGGTGACTCATGCCTGTAGTCCCAGCTACTCAGTAGGCTGCTGCAGGAGGATCGCTTGAGCCCAGGAGTTGGAGGTTGCTGTGAGCTAGGCTGACGCCACGGCACTCACTCTAGCCTGAGCAACAAAGTGAGACTCTGTCTCAAAAAAAAACAAAAACAAAAAGAAAAAACACAGTACACTCAGGGGCATTCTGCAGACAAAAACTAAAAGGCATGCAATGTAAGCCACTAAAAATTACTGAGAAAGAAAATTTCTATTTGTAAATATCCACCCATGCATCCATCCACATACATATATATAATTGAGGTCAATCATATCACCTGATTGCAGAATATTTTAATTATCATCAGAAAAGCTAATTCAAAATACCTAAACACACAATAAAACTTACATTTTCTTACTAGCTATGACAGGAGAGTCTTGAGATGACACGAAATACACTCTAAGAACACTATTTCCTTTTACCATGCACATAAAGTACAGCACAGCATAATATACAACCACTAGAGGAACCTCAGATTTAAGGGCTTTCTTCCCCCAAATTCCTAACTTAAATATTTGAGTAGAGATTCATATTTTACTTAAAAACAAAACAAAACAAAAAAAAAAACTACTGACCGTTTCCGCAATCTCAATTTTGTTTTCCTGAGAAGTGTTGAGAAAAAAAAAACCGCACTGAAACCAACAAACTTCCAAAACCCAAAAGTCGGACTGTCATGGTGAATGAAGAATGGGTCCAGATCAGCATGGTCTTAAAATCAGCAACTTTTTGATGGCTTTAAAGAATAAAGACTACACCACGTTCAGATTCACTTGCCGGGCTGTATGAGTGTAAACCAGTCCCCAGCGAACGGCAGCTACACAGCTTGATCCATACCCGGCAGGATTATTTAGGTTTGGCAGGAAGACCAAAAACTCAGGCTTAAATTCTTTGCTTTTAAGTTTAGGTTTCCATTGCCTAGTCCTAACCACAATATTCTAGAAAGATCTACCGTGTTTCCCCGAAAATAAGACAGGGTCTTATCTTTATTTTTCCTCAAGAAGACACCCTAGGGCTTATTTTCAGGGGATGTGTTATTTTTTTTTAAGCACGGTACAACAATCTACATTGATTGAAACAGAGTGAAGTCGTCTTCTTCTGGAACATCATCCTCACTCTCCAAACCCCGAATTCCATCCTGAATGTCTTGCGACTCTGTTTCCTTTAGAACCACCGGACCCGATCTCTCCTGTGGAGCACTAGAGCTCTCACGGGGCGGATGAGAAGGGCTGCTTGTGTTCTTTCCCGCTCCGCGACGACTCGCATGGGTTGTGCAGATGCCCTGCGCAGCCACACCCATCACTAGGGCTGATTTTCATAGCCACGCCCACCACTAGGGCTGATTTTCATAGCCACGCCCATCACTAGGGCTGATTTTCATAGCCACGCCCATCACTAGGGCTGATTTTCGGGGTAGGGCTTCTATGGCGCACATGCTTAGACATCCTGCTGGGGCTTATTCTATGGGTAGGTCTTATTTTTGGGGAAACACGGTATGATTATATGGAAATGAAGCAAAGGGTAACTGCACCACGTCATTCAGAGAATGTGTCCCGCTGCCTAATCCTCAGTCGATCCAACCTTACAGCTTCATCATTTATTATTATTTCAGAGTAAGCAGCAGGAGAGAAGACAAAATACGACCACGGGCGTGGATCTTTCTTGGGCTCCCGTACAATCACGCTGATAGAATCGCTGCCGGCATCGCACTCTTTCAGGGCAGACAGGTTTGAAGGCATGCTAAACGGAGCCAATTTTCTTGTCCAATATTTTGGCGGGAGCTTCAATCAGCTCTTCTCTTAGGCCTGTAGTCCTCAGGCTGCTGCACAACAGGCCACGAGATGGAAGCTGTTTCTGAGGTCGCCTTGACCAACACCAAGGTCGTTATTATTCTACGTGGTGGCACAGCAAGGCTCGACTTCCCAGCTGCATTAACCACTTCGGTACAAGCGTCGACTGTAGTTGACAGCCACGGATGAATGTGCACAGCCCAGCGTCGACTGTAGTCAACAGCCACAGACGGACGCGCACAGCCCGGCGTGGACTGTAGTCGACAGCCACAGATGAACTCGCACAGCCCGGCGTGGACTGTAGTCGACAGCCACAGATGAACGTGCACAGCCCGGCGTGGACTGTAGTCAACAGCCACAGATGAACGCGCACAGCCCAGTGTGGACTGTAGTCCACAGCCACAGGTGAACTCGCACAGCCCGGCGTGGACTGTAGTCAACAGCCACAGATGAACGCGCACAGCCCAGTGTGGACTGTAGTTGAAAGCCACACATGAACACGCACAGCCCAGCATGGACTGTAGTCGACAGCCACAGACGCACACAGCCAAGCGCTGACTATAGTGGAC